ACAGTGCTGTTTGATCGATAGGATGAAGTTTCGAGCAATGTGTAAGATTATGCGACTTAGGCACCTCGCAGATTTTGCAGTGGTGATATGAGACTTTCTCTGCCACCAAAACTGTATCCTTTGCATAATGTATAGTGTACTGATATCCTGTACGTAAGCTGGTTAGTGTAATCTGCTCTCCGTGACAGACTCCATGATTATATGGTTTGTCTAAATCAGATGTCCCTGCAATACTTTCAGAATGCAAAATAGTACCATGTCCATTTCTCTTCAGTTTTCCTGTGGTCCATACCTTGCCCTCATAATCTCGAAGACGGCTAAAAACACGTTTTATCAACTGTTTAAGAGATAATGGTACTGCATTATCTTCACGAGATAGTGCTAGTTTTGTTAACTGATCCACCTAGGTCCCACGAGTATTGTGGTAATCCAGGAAGCTGAAGAGAAGGCGTGCGAAGTGTGTGGGCAGGTGTAGTTGTGTTAGTCTGTATTTGAAACCGTCATGCTAGACCTTATCAAAGGCCTTGCTGACGTCTCTCCGTTCGTCTGGTACTTGTTAGCGAGACCGAGTGCGATCTCCTCGTACGCGAGGCGATGACGTTCTCGGTCCCCTTGCGTGTGCGAGAGCCGTATTGCCTAATGTTGAGTGTCTGGTTGTGTTCAAGGTGTGAGATAGGGCTTTGTGTTATTTCCCCCTCTAGCAGTTTGCCTGGGACTTCTAGGAGTGAGATGGGGCGGCAATTCCGCACTTCGTGTGCGCATTTCCCTGGGCTAGGAATCAAGGTGAGAGTGGTGTGTTTAAATTCATCAGGGAAATATCCTGTTGCCAGAGCTGAACTGAAGATATGGCGTAGTCTGCTGATCATTCAGGGTGGATGGTGTTCAATGATTATTTTGTTTATGTTGCTTGTTCCTGGTGTTGTGTTTTTAGTGCGTTTGTGTTTGCTATTTCCTCTGGTGTGATTGGAGTAGAGAGGGGACTGTCCTCTGTGAGAGGATTTAGTCTGATGGTGTTCTCTAGGAGAATTATGTTCTTATGTTGTTGTATGTAGTTTGTAACCTCAGTATCTGTGGTGCGGTCGAATCTAGCATTCTCGGTGGGGGAGATTTGGAAATTCTGTTGCCAGAATTCCCTGTGGAGGGGCTCCATCTCCTCCACCGAGTCAACGTTCTGTCTTTGTGCGTTGTATATGTGTCATTGTCTGTTAGTTCGACCCCATGAGCAATTTGAAGGAATTTTCTTGGGATCTTTCGTGTTTTGACATAGACTTTGCATGAGTGTTTCCCAGTATTGTTTGTTCATTACTTTAATTCCGTGTGTAATTTGTATTTGAATTTCTCTGTATCGCATGCATAGTTGTGCGTTCCAGCCCCACGGTATTGCAAGTTCATGCAAGTGCCTGTATTGTATTTTGAGCAATTTCTAACTGTATGTTTCTCTGTAGTGAGGGATAGTCTTGTGTTTTGGCCTGTCACTATTCAGGGTGGGTGTTTATTGTGTGTGTGGCCTGCCCCTCGAGATCAGTTACTTGTGTGTCTTCGAGTGCTTGTTGAAGAAGCCCTCTCAGTTTGCGTGTTTGAAAGATTCTCGGGGTTGTGTTGGGATCATGATAGGGTTTGTTGTGACAGTGTAAGAATGACCGGGAGGTGGTCGTTGGATGTGACGCCGTCTGTTGTGATGCGGTAGTGTAGTTGTGTTCTGCGGTTTACTAAGACTATGTTAGGTGTTGTTGCCGTGTTATTAGCTATACATGTTGGGTGTGTGGACCGAGGTGTATGAGTCTGCCTTGTTGTATGAGCGAGGCGAGGCCTCTGCCTACGGTGTTTGTGTGGTTGTAGCTAAAGAGCGCGTGGTTTGCGTTAAGGTCTCCCGAGATGTATATTGGTTTGCCATGCCTCAAGAGCTGCAAGATGTCAGGTTCTGGTATGTATGGTCTTCTTGGTGGGATGTATAATGTTGCTAGTATAATGGGTCTTTGCGGTGTGTTTATTTCGATTCCCAGTGGATCTGAGTGAAAGTTATTGATGATTTTATGAGATATGTGGTTTCTGATCGCAATTGCTACGTCATCGCTTCTTTCCTGTGATTTGTTGGAAGAGTAGATAGTGTACATGTAGATTTTAAGTGGGTTGGTGTTAGTGAGCCCATGGCTGTTGATGAGTATGATGTGTGGGTCGTGTCTTCTGTATGTGTTACACAGTTCAGTTTCCCGTGTTGTCCAGTGTAAAACATTGAGTGTAATGTATGTATGCATTGTGAATTTGTGTTGTTATTCAGTGAGGTATCCATTATTCAATCTCTTTATGTTTCCGCAGGGCTCAGTCATGTCGTTGGTGACACGCATGTTGCCCTCCTTGAGGTGTTTGTTGGGCCTCTTAACCGTAACCATGAGGGTATGTCCCTTTTTCGTTACTAACCACTTTTTTGTCTCAAGGCCAAATTCGAATCGATCAGAATACTGTAATTTTGATACGGATGCCGGGTGTCGTATTGTAGCAGTCCCGCCCATGAGGCGCCCAAGCCCCTCGTCATCAGTGAAGCATCCATTGGGTTCGGTAAGGTCTGGGAGGTGGGTCATCAGGGGTACTTAAGGGGATGTCATTGGGGTATCCCTTAGTTCTGCTACTGTGGGTATTTTTTATGTTTTTTGGCCTCCCTGATTGACGAGAGGAGGACGCTGTGTCGGTGTTGCATTCTGGGAAATAGACTGGGGCTCCAGTGTCTGGGCTTCAGCAAGCTAAGGCTCCAGGGGCTCAGTGGACTCAGCCTGCAAAGGTTGAAGCTCCGTTGCCTGAGCCTGTACAATAGGCTGAGGCATCGGTGCCTGGGGCTGTGTTTGTTCAGGCTGGGCCTGAATCATCTGGGTAGGACGCTTCACTACCTTTAGCATGCCCCGAGAGTCACACTCCCCGTGGTCGAGCGCAGTTAGGTTATTTGCTGCCAGCGCTACCCTGGCATGATATCTGAAGCCTTTTTCAGGGCCAATGATCTTTTGCACGTGGGCATGCAGGAACACCACGAGAATCTTTTTAGAGAGGTCATCAGGGAGGGCCAAGGGTTCTGTTTTTGTCCTGGCGGACTTGGTTGATTAGGGGCTTTCAGGCATTGGTGGTGGCCTGCACAGTTTCCTGTGCAGCCTTTTGGGCCACGGCCCTGTAAGGCTTCGTTTTCTTGTTTTTCCTTCTCCTGTTTTCTTTTAGGAGATTTTCATGGCCTCTTTACGGGTAGGGCAACTGTTTGCAAATGTCTTGTGGGCACCGCCGCAGTGAGGATTTCTTAACAGAACCTTTACAGTCCCTGAATGAGTAGGTGTTAGATCCGCACTCTGTGAATCTGGCTCTTTTCTCAGCCTTGCAATGGTTTTTAGATGCCCATATCCAAAGCAATTCATACAATGTCTGAGGGACGTATGTCTCTCGAAATCAATTTGCGAGGGGCAAACATATAACTTGAAGAGGTATATCCCCATCTCGGAAAACACGATCTTGTTGATATAGTTGGGTTTCATAATGTAAATGTGGTCATCTTGAGCTTCAGGGAAGGGTGAGGTGATTTCTTCCTCGATATCTAGTTCCGACTCGTTGACGACTTCTCGGTCTAATCTCTTGAAGACAAGCGCGAGCTTAGCCTTCTTATCAACTGGAAGAATCGGGGAGAAATCAAGGTTCTCCAGAGTCTGGACGACATCCTTAGAGAAGAGCTTCTCGGCATGGATGTCGTCCTTAATTAGGGCCAAGTGTCCGCCATGCAGATAAAGTACCGAAGTACTCCGATCTCAGCACTAAAGAGTGCATTGGCAAGGGTCCCACGTTTTCTCGGGTGGGGCCGCCTAGAGCTTTAACCTTAATCTTGACCATATTCAGGGGTTGGGCATGGGTCTGGCGAGGGGATGCAGGGTGAGTGGTATGACTGGGTTGGGGGATGAGGGGTAAGATAATGGAGAGAGAGAGAAGGTGAGGAAAAAAGGAGCTTATACTCGACCCTGCCTATTGGCAGATTGGTTGCCTTCTCCAGTGTACTAGAGGGTCGTAGCTCTGTGTTGGGCCGCTCCCTTACTGCCAATCCTTGCTAAAAAGGGGCAAAAGGTAAGCAGCGCACCACCCAGACGAATACAGAAGCCCTCGAGGGATTTGTGCAGGTCCAGGTGACCACAAGAAAGGGAAGAGAATTCAGGAGGAGAAAAAGCACACCTAAATGTCGCCTCAGACTGCAAGGCCTCTCTATATAGGTTTCCCTGTGATAGAGAGAGCTTCGGGTCTGAGGAGAGGTGTAGAGGTTCCCTTATCACCGTCAACATCTGGGAAGAAAAGGCCGCTGAGGGCAGTAACAATACAGACGAACTCTGAAAACAGAGCTAGTTTGCTAACCGTTTAATTGGAAATCAAATAATAATAGACCAGGTTTGCTCAGTGACACTTTGAGTATTCCTTTAGCTATTAATGAGACTCTCTTAGCATTGACTGGGTGATGGTGGGTTATCTAAGGATAAGTCTGATATGTGAAGCTGAGCCTCGCCCGAGCTATGCCCAAGAGGGGTGCCCGGCCTGTGTCGACTAATGCCGACTCGCTAACGTGTGTCAGCTGGTGCTGACTCGGCTAAATCTAGTCCTTACCCGCCGTGGTGCCCAGTCACAGCAGTAATCTCCAGGCGACAATTGCAACTCCTCGCGCCTGGGCGGGGCGCAAACCGCTGACCCCTCAGAAGAGAGGCCGACACGTTACCATTGTACTAGCCCGGAGGTTGATGTCTTATTTTGAGATTTGCGAAGATCTAGCTTCGCCCCGGCCTTCCATATATGGCCCGGCCTGTGTCAGCTTTTTATAGCTCATTTTGTTCTCTGACACTCGGTGCCTACCGTGGCGGCGGGATTGCCAGCAGGCGCATACCGCATAATCTCTTTACCAGCACGGCGGCTGTTGTGGACGGTCCCTGTCTCAGGAATTGTGTGTGCTCACAATTCTCTAAATAGTGTACCAGGGTGGCGTTGTGCTCGCTACAATGCATGCAGCACCTCATCTCACGGTCTATTGTCCCTATGATCTGCCATGCACAGTGGTAACCTAGTCTGATTCCGTGAAGAATGACTTCGGTACCTCTGTTGATAACTTCAGAGAGTGCCAGTGGCTCATAGCCTGTGGCGTCTGAGTACCAGCTGGCCGAGGGGGAGGATCGTTTCCTTACTGTGAAGCTGCAGGAGGAAGGTACGAGCGGCCGCAGTACACTTCTCCTTTAGGATTTTTCGGCTTGGTTGTATGATCATGGGATTTGGGGGCATACCCCTGCCAATGTCGGCTAGTCTGTCAGCAAGCTCATTCTCTCTGATGCCAATGTGGCTGGGGACCCAATTAATGATTATTCTTCTACCCTGAGCAAGAATTCTCTGCGCTACGGTAAGCGCAGTAGTGAGGAAGTAGATGTTGTCTTTGGGTAAGCTGTGCTGTAAGACAGTCAATGGCTGCTCTGGAGTCTGTATGTATGACCATGTCTCCTTCCCTTAGGGACGCATAGGCTAGGGTTCCCATGATTGCAACTGCCTCTCCCTGTAGCGAGGAGGCGTTGTCTATTACCCTCATGCCCTTAGCAAGTAGCTGTTCTTTGAGCTGATAGCGTATCAACACCCTGGCTGTGTGAGACAGCCAAGAGTTTTTTGCAAAGAGCTCGTTATCTTGTTCTAGGCGTCTGACTATTTTTGCTTTAGTCTTGTGTTACTGGGAGCCTGGGTGACCTTTGAAAAGAATTGTGCTGCCATTAGATCGATTCGTGAGTCCAGGGGGAGAAGGTTTGCCTCCATGAGGAGGTTGAGGACCTTCGTCCACCTTGGGGCACACAGAATGATCCTGGCAGTTTCATTTTGGACTGTCTGCAATTTGTCTTTGTACTTTCTCTTTGTATCATTTAGAGCGACTGAGGCATAGTCCATAAGGGGCCGGACGGCATGTACTTAGATGCTCTTAGTACTTTGTGTCTGGCTCCTATGCGTCTCCCAGTCATGACTTTCATGACAGACAGTCTTGCTTTGGTTTGGTCAACCAGGTACTGGGCCTCCTTCTGGAAGGAGAAGGTCCAGTCTAGCCTTACTCCAAGCTATTGGAAGTCCTGGACCCACTCCAAGTCCACTCCCTGGATTTTCAGACATGTACCTTGAACTTTATGTCTCAGAGCCATGGCTTTGGATTTGGCTGCAGAGATCTTTAGTCCTGCCCTACGTACTCCTCAGATACAAGGTCCAGACAGCGCGGGGCTTTATGTTTGATGCCTCAGGTTGATTTTCTTATATGAGAGGGTATCCAGCATATGCCGCTTGTATACCCTGCTCTGATTGGCTAGGCATTTGGTGTAGGATATGCTATGTTTCCCGGACTAAATGCAGTAAGCTATCGGCAGGGTATATGGCTACTGACTCAGCATCAGTTGGAAATTCGTGCACTCTCTTTGATGATGATGATGGTGATGATGATGATGGTGATGCTGATGATGATGATGATGATGATGGTGATGATGATGATGATGATGGTAATGATGATGATGATGATGATGATGATGATGATGGTGATGATGATGATGATGATGGTAATGATGATGATGATGATGATGATAGTGATGATGAGGGTAATGATGATGGTGATGATGTTGGTGATGATGATAGTGTTGGTGATGATGATGGTGATGATGATGATGGTGTTGGTGATGATGGTGATGATGAGGATGGTAATGATGATGATGGTAATGATGTTGGTGATGATGATGATGTTGGTGATGATGATGGTGATGATGATGGTGTTGGTGATGATGATGATGGTGATAGTGTCGGTGATTTTGGTGATGGTGATGGTAATAGTGATGATGAAGATGATGTTGGTGATGATGATGGTGATGATGATGGTGTTGGTGATGATGATGATGGTGATAGTGTCGGTGATTTTGGTGATGGTGATGGTAATAGTGATGATGAAGATGATGTTGGTGATGATGATGGTGTTGGTGATGATGATGATGGTGATAGTGTCGGTGATTTTGGTGATGGTGATGGTAATAGTGATGATGAAGATGATGTTGGTGATGATGATGATGGTGTTGGTGATGATGATGTTGGTGATGATGATGTTGGTGATGATGATGGTGATGATGATGATGATGGTGTTGGTGATGATGATGGAGTTGGTGATGATGAGGATGGTGATGATGATAGTGGTAGTGGTGATGGAGAATAAGTAATAAAAAAGAATATGAATAATATTGATAATGGTGAAAAGAGAGGGGGAAAACACGAAGAGGAGGTTGAGGAAGAAGAAAAATAAAGAGAAGGAAAAAGAAAGAAAAAAGACACGAAAGAAGTGAGAAAAACGCCAAATTACCTTTAATGGAAAAAATGAAGATGAAAGAGAAAATAAAGATGACACTAAGGAGGAAGATGCAAATGAAGATGAAAAGAAGGCTGCTGAAAACGAAAGTGAGAAAAAGATGAAGATGAAAATGATGATGAAGTTGAAGAAAAAGACCACGAAAATCAAGACGAAGATGAGGAAGAGAAAGAAACAGAAGATGAAGGAGAAGAGAAACAAGGACGAGAGCGAGGACGAGGGGGAGTAGGAGGCAAAGAAGAAGAAAGAGAAGAGGCGCTAAGATGCCGGCAAAACAAGTATTTGTAAAAGGGCGAAAAGCCATTGAAGGGACGAGGGCAGTCGCTCTCTCCTCCTTTCCAATCTTGATACTAATCACGCTTGCCTTCGTCAGGCTGATTAACTTTGTTAAAATGAATATAGCTAAACACATAGGCAACAGTAAAGACATAAAGGACAATAATTAATCAGTTACCAAAAACCTTGCTTTACCAACCTAGCAAACGTCGCTAGTAACTGCAAAGGCTAGTCCTTTCCATGATAACAAGGCTATAACAATAGCAAGGATATTAACAAATGACAAACAGAGCATGTGAAGATTACATGAAATGTCTCCTTCCAGCTCAGCCACTACGGGCCCTCCGCCACCTAGCGAAAAGCGCTAGAAGCGAGCGCCGTCGCCTGGCAGCCCCGCTCCCGCAGTCGACGTCTGGCGATCGGCGAGGGTGGTTCCCCAGGCGGCCTCGCTCCGGCATACAAAGTGCGTCCTGCAGCTCGTCCTCGTCCTCGAAGATGGCGGCGACGGCCAAGGAGGTGGTGGCGAGGCTCAAGGGCGAAGGCTGGTGAGTTGGGGGGGGCGGGGGAGCGGTTAAGACGAGGCGCGGCCGAGTGCTTTGCTCTGGAGAGATTTGTTTTGCTTTGTTTTGTTTTGTTTGTGTGGCGTTGGGGATTTTGTGTGGTTTGGCGGAGGCAGGTGAAGGGATCGATTGTTCAGGCCTATTTCGGGGCCGTGGTGCTCTCCTTCGCCGTCTTGCCGCTCTGTCTTGGAGGAAGGCAGGAGGGAGCCTGGCCTCTTCTCCTTAGGCTTTGGGCGGACTCGGGGAAGCGGCTCCTTCCTGCCCCTCGAGGCAGAGGTCCAGCGAAGTCGCCTGGGGCGATTCCCTGTGCAGACGAAGCGCCTCCTTTCCACGGACTACTGGATGAGGGCGACCCTCGGCAGGCAGCGCAGGGAGTGCACAGGGAGAGTGTGGGTGCAACACCGTGGAAAGTCCACGGTGTGATGTGCAAACTGTTGAGGAACCCAGGGTCGTGTGGCCGATCTTTTGGCGGAATCAGCAGGCAGACACCGCCAAATGCCCGTCGTGAGGTGCCGTCACCTGGAGCTACGGTCACTAGGCCGTAGGCCTTAGGCCCTGGATCCCATGGTAGTTGTAGAATGTGTCCGGCCTTTATGGCATGAGCAAAGTGAGGACAAACTGAAGAGGATGTTCTTATAGAGGACTAAAAGTTGCCGTCATCTGTGCAAGAAATAATCTGCCGACACCAAAGGTAATGCCACAAAGAGGGGAAAAAAGGTTGCGGAAAGCACTACCTAGAGCTTAAGTTCACTTGGCGCTCCTTTCAGCTTTCTCTTGGCTTGTGTACTGAGGTGAAGACAATATTTAACTGGGTGTTGGGGCTAACCCCCCCTCAACCCTCTCCTTGGGCAGTGCCCACAGGGCAAGCCCAGTCATGACTACTTAGATTTTTTAATAAATTTTGTGACATGGAGTTGGGGACTTAGTCATTGGTGAGTGCATCCGTTCTGTAAAAAATTACCAAATCCCAGTGATCATACCCAGTACAACAGCTACACCACCTGGGCCTCTGGTTGTGCCCTGCCCCCTGCACTGTTGTTTACTAATGCTTTGTCCATATGATAATTTGCTTGCTGAAAACATCTTTGTGGAGTGAAAACGCTGAGCTCTTCCTTGGCTGAGCAAATTGTGTGAATTGTTTAATCAGAAGTACTGGTAGTGAAAAATGCATATACACAAGCTTATTTAAAATATCTATATGAATAACTGTTTAAAATCATTATTGAATTATAATATTAAGAGTAGTAATATTTGATAAATTGGAGTAACAAGTTGTGTAGTCAGTACATTACATATCATCCCAGCGTAAACAAGATGAACGACTAAGAAAGAATGGCCAATCTTCTCAGTTTTTTCGTCTAGTACTTTTAGGAGGCATTTGCACAAATATTGCCACTCGACAAATTTGTGTCGATTTGTATCATTCTAAAATTTTGTAGGTTTTATTACCCAATTCTGCTACTACCCTCCAACGCCTTGCTTTTTGTCGTGGGTGGCTTAGGAAATGGAGACAGAGGCTGTGGGCACAGTATTCACTTGATTAATTGCCTAGCCTTTACTCCTTATTCCTTATAAGGACCTGGACTGGTAGACTGTTTTTATCCCCTATTTATTTGAAGCTAATAATGAGGATTTTTACCCACATTAGGGCAGTGAAGCTTCCCCCTTCATTAGCAAGCCTATTTAAATTTGATTTCTTTGGTTTCCCATCTTCTGCCTCTCCTGTGACCACAGCTCCGTCCATCCTTGGTATTTGCTGTCAACTCTGTCCATTCCGTGTCATCTACCCTGGTCGTTACTCAACTTTCAGAAAACACCCCTTCCTCTCTCCTAGCATCCTCTTCTCTATCTCCTACTGCACATCTTCATTGTCTACCCCCCCACCTGCTGTTCTATTGTCCTCCTCCCCATAGTAATACCTCACCCCACCCCACCTCATCTTCCTCCTGCCTTTCTCCTTCTACTGCTTCCACCTCTACAAACCTTTTGATGAGTACTCTTTACGGCTCAGCCAAGTGGGACTGATTCTTTGTGATTCCCCCTACAGCCCCTTATTCTGATAATACTCTCTTTCAAGAATGTTGCCAAAATCTCTTTCAAGAATGTTGCCAAAAGCAAGTAAGCAAATTTCCTTTTGCAGTTAATCCAATCATGTACTATATATCCTGATTGATCTCACTCCTCCCTTAATATTTGTACAAGAACTGTTTCTGTCCTTGGCTTATTGTCCTGTCTGTGACAAGGACTGGTCAGACTGTGAACACATCCTGTTTGCCTGCCTCATTGACTATGATACAGTGGCCGTCCAGTGCTACACTATTCCTCCCAGTGATCAGCTTAAGTTGTACACTAATATTGCCAAGATGAGCTGCTGCAGACATGAATTTTATATTGGTGGAGTGTCCTACCCTGTCTGACCATCTTGATCCTTTCCCCATCTATATCAGAAATGTTGGCATTTTGGCCACTCAGCCAAATGCTGTTACTCCACAGCCTGCTACCCTCTTTGTGCCTAACCTGGTCATGACCTTTCAGATTATGGTGGCTCCCATTAAGTATTTTATAGGAGCTGCCCTATCTGCAAGCTCAAATCTGAGGTAGCAATTCTCAGATTCAAAATAGGCCTCACTCTACTTGAGGCCATTTCCAGCCCGGATCCAAATATTCTAATCTCAACCACTGCTTTGATGCCTGTCCCTCCCCCTTCTCACTGTACCTGTTGCACCAGACAATCTAAACATTCTGCCCCACCTTCTACCACATCCTTCTGTACACCCACCTTCTCCTCTGCTCCTCATACATCTATCCACTCTCCTCCTCCTCACAAGAACAAAAACTCTTGAAAACATCCAAAACTTCCTAAACTTGATCCCAGTGAATGCTCGGTTCCCTCATCCACCCTAAAATCCCTCTCTTCCTATTCACTCTACATCCAGAGTATTTGCCAGCATCCATCCTTGTCCTCATCACATTCCCCTCTTCTTCCCACTTTCCCCTTTAACCCAATGGCGCCGGGTGTACAAAACAAAAAAAAAACTCTATGCATAAGCAAACAGAGGCGGCGCATGAGTAGGGGACATCAGCCCGAATCACTGGCTCGCCGCGCTTTGGAGCGCCGCCATCTCGTTTGGCTGCACGCCAGCTTTCGAGTGTTTTGTTTGCACGCCGATCGGCGTCACCCGGCACCAAGGGGTTAACACCCCATGCTCTCCTCCATGCACATTACCATTCTCTCTTCCTTCCCTCTTGGGTTTTTCTGCTCTCAAGAAGAAAAGGGTGTGATTTTTGACCCCAAAACTTGCACAAGTACTACTTTCAATAGTGAAATATTCAACCCTATTTTCCTCAGTCTTTTACAAGGGCAGTGGAATTGTTTAGTTCATGAATTTTTCTCCAGTTCATTAACTTTGCATTCACTCAGGCACTTGCTTTCCCCATCAGGTCTCTGAGTGAGGAAGGTGTCGAGAATCTCCTGGAAGGAAACCACTTCAGCTTCCAGAATGCCTCTCAAGAAATCCTCAATGTAAGTACGCAAGTCTCACTCAAGTCTCGAGGCATTCATAAGGGAGTGTAACTGCATGTCCCTTGGTCAGCCAGTAATGGGGGGTTTGGAAGATGACAATGATGATTCTAAGCTAGTAATAATAGGGATAATTAATGGAGCGATTTATTCAACTTAGTGGTTATGATAACCGGAGTCTGTGATATTTATATTGTAAGGTAATGATAATGTAGGTTCATTACAGTGTTTAACATGAAGGCAGTAATAATGAAAGTGTAGATTGATTTTAGTGGTTGATGTAAATAAAGAATAATAATGAAAATATAAGGAAGTAATGATCATAGTAGTGATTCTTACACACGCTCCAAAATTATTAGTTCGTATATGAAGTTCGGAATGCTTGCAGTCCTGCCAATACTTATCACTTCCCTTTTTCAGAGTGACTTAAAGGATGTAGGTGCACCTTGTCTTCCAGAGGACTTAAAAGGCAAGAACAAGACAGTAAGTTGAAGGTCTTGGAAAAAGGAAAATGTGTTCCATGTTGAGTTTGAGTGATATGGGTACAAGTAATTTGGATTTTCTTTTTCTCTTTTCTTTCTGAAGTATTCATGACTGTGTGAGGGAGAGAGAAAAAATGGAAATAATGATAATGATAACAATAATGTGATAATATAAAAGTAAAGAAGTATTAGTAATGGCAGTTATGGAAAATATTAATGATAAAAGTAACAGATACATATAGTAATAATAGTAGTAGTAATAAAAGAGAAATAATTGTGATAATGATAGTAATGATGATGATGATCATGATATTAACAAAACATTGATAATAATAATAATAATAATGATAATAATAATGATAATAATAATAATGATAATAGTAATAATGATGATAATAGTAATAATGATGATAATAGTAATAATGATGATAATAGTAATAATAATAATAATAATCATAATAATAATCATAATAATGATAATAATAATAATAATAATAATAATAATAATAATAATAACAATAATAATAACAATAATGATAATAATAATGATAATAATAATGATAATAATAATGATAATAATAATGATAATAATAATAATAATAATAATAATAATAATAATAATAATAATAGTATTACTACTCTTGAAGAAAATAATAAGAAAAGATTTATTATATCCATAATATTAATGATAATGATAATTATGATTGTAAGGAAAATAATGATAATGTTAATAATGATGGTAATATAAGTCATAGTGATATTAGTAACACAATAGTAACGATATTAATGATAATGACAATAATCTGCACCGTTCCATTTTTAGTTGACAGGGCCCATGGTTCTGCAGGTGTCCAAAATCCGCAATGTGTCGGCCCCCAAAGCCTTTGCCGACTCCAGTGCAGCCCCTCGTCTACTGCGACTCTCCCTTACTGATGGTACAAACACATTTCAGGCCTTAGAGATCCAGAACATTAAAGTCATCAGGTGGGTGTCTGCTCTTGTCTCCTGTGTTCTTTTGTTTTGGTTTTTCTTTCGTTCATTCATTAAATTTTCTTGTTTTGATTGTTTGATGATGTGGCTGGTTTTTAAGTCTTTGTTTTTTTGTTTTTTTCTTTTGCGTTGTGTGGTAACGTGTTTATATCTTTGTTTTTTAGCCCCATGCTGCCAGGAAAATGTGATGTTCACTGTTTTCTTTTGTTAAATGTCTACACTTACTCTCCTGATTTCCCCTTTCATAAAGCTTTCACTTTTCTTTAATTATTTTTTTTTACTTTTTTTTTTTACATGATGTTATTGTGCTGTTATTTTTATTATAGACAACATGATTTTATATTTTAATGTCATTAATATTACTACTAGTATTAAAAAGCAAGAGTCCAAAAATTAAGGAAAAGGGTTAGCCAGGTGAGAAACCAAATGTTTCCACCCTTTATGGGTCTTCTGTACTTGTCAGTCCTAAAAAGGGATAACTTTTGTCTGTAAAACCATTTTTTTCTTGGAATTGCTTACATTGGCAAGCAGAGTAAAAATGAACAAAAAATGGGGAAGATGCTGTGCTCATTTTTTATATAATTTTTTAAATGTCTCTACACATAGATGGCTCTGCCTTACCTGATTTCACCTTTACTTGAATTGGCGGGAAAATGTATTTTTTACTAGTACTATGAATATCAATGGTTATTTTTATTATAAACCTTATAATTACTATAATGTTATTAACATAGGTAACAGCAAAGTAAGATAACGTAAAATATTTTTGTAAATTAAAGAAAAGGGTAAACGGGCGAGACAGGCAGTACAAGTACAAGTGTAGCCATCTATGTTTAAAAACAATTAAACAAGTAAACTCACAGTGGGCATGTCATGTATACTTGACACCTGACGCGAATGGCTTAAACTTTGAGAAGGAAATATGAGCAAATCTCGAGATCTGTTTTGATAGGTTTTTAGATTTCTTCTTCAGAAAGGAATATTAGAGGTTATAATCTGATACTGTTTTCAGAACTGACAATAAAAGTAATACCAAGAAACATCTTCATAATCTATAAAAATCTATTCATAATTTCACCATCTCCAGCCTCAAGACGGCTCCGGGGACAAAGGTTCGCATACTGGGCAAGATATCCTTTGGGGCAGGATACGCCCTGCTGACCCCAAGTAACATCGCTGTCTTAGGAGGCAAGGTGGAGGAGCTGTACGAGAAATGGCGACTTTCACAGGTAGGCAAAGCATATTTTGTTTTGGAATGACTGGGCAAAGTTGTTGAATTTATTTAGTGTTGAATGTCTTTGGATATAGAATTGTTTTTTCCTTTCGGTCCAAAATCTCATCCAATTTATTTGATTATCATTATTATTATTATTATTATATATATTTTTTTGGAGGAGAGATTACTAAACTTATGTTGCAAACAATGCTTCTTTTTTTTAGTGATATTGTTTGCT